GAAATAAAGCTAACCGTGTATGTTTTATGTTACTGATGAATTTCTCTATTGGATTTGCAGAGTCGGAAGATGAGGATGAAAACAGGGACTCAAAGAGGATTGGAGAATTGGAATGGGAAATGCACAGAGAGATCAATGATGAAGAACTCGGCAAACTGTAAGTTGTTTGACTAACTTTACAGTACGAAATTAGAGAACGATGCCAAAATACTCATTAGCTTAACTATCCAAAATATTCTGATGATAACAGCGTTGTTACAAAAACTACAAAGGTAGAAAACAACAACCATTGTAAAGTATGCTTTCCGATGTACAGTAACAGAACTTTCAGGGAATGTTTTCTGCGCTGAATAAATTTAACGAAAAATCCTCTTAAGGTTAAAGAATGACGAATCACATTTTCCAGTCGAGAGGAAGTCCCAGCTTAACCTCGTAACTCCCATGAGTGACCAAGAAAGAATTTCTCCTTACAATATCTACACAATATCAAGCAGACAAGTGATGAGAATGAAGCAAAATGTCAATTGGGAGATTATAGTCGATCAAACACCAAATTATCCGAACTGACATCATGAGAATTGGTTGGCAGACAGTACGGAGATTTACTAATGAGATCTGGGGGTGAAAAGGTTAAATTGATTGAACGGCTGTTATTCGAGAGCTAGTGAACCAGTTAAAAGGTCATTTCAAATAAAAAAAGTTCCTAGACCGATAATTAGTCCCTAAATTTTGTAAATATTTTCAAGTCAAACATTTAAGACAAGTCACTGAAAACCGTTTTAACTCAGAAAATTTACTTTCTTAACCATTCACAGAACTCTTTCGATATCAGGTAGTCTCATATCGACTGGGTTAATGTAGTTCTCTCTTAAGATAAAGTCTTTTAAGTGAGAGATCACATAGTTACAAAACGAACATATTTAATATTCTTTGAAGAGCTTTTAACAGATAATGAAAACTACCAAAAGATTTACCAACTTAAAATATCAACTCCCGATTGCTATAATTGGTTTTTTTAATATGTGGTGAGCATAAGTTATTTTCATTTTACTTGAACTCAATAACACTCAACCGTGATGGGTAAGCTAATATTAATGAACAAATGGCTGTGACAAATGAATTTTAACGCCGTATGGTTCCCAAGCGTAAAAATTGTTGGTATGCACAAAATAGTTACCGTGATTTTTTTTCTTTGTTGCCGAAGATCATTCCCGTTGTCACAACTCTAATATTAAAAAAATTAATTAAAAGTTATACGCCTTCACATTATCGAAGAGAAGTTTCTGGCTTGTGAGCTAATTCCGAGAATCATGATGGTTTTCGTAATTTGTTTACTGCGTTGATTGAATCAAGTTGAAGGCACGTGACTGGACGTGTGACTAAGAGAAATCATTCGCTTGAGATTCGTAGTGTTCTCGAAAACAATGAGTTGTTGACAACAACATTATTTCTCATTTTTGGTATTGTTTACCATCCCTTAAAAATAGCTCCGGCTATCCGATGGAATATGCTTTTACACAAATGTTTTGGCCGTTACCGGCTATACGTTATGGCGATTCATGAATGTCTTGCGCGATTGTCGCAATTTGTCCGGCACTGGGTAACATATTTTGTGCTTCGACATGCCAAAAACATCATTAAAAGTAAACTCTCCACACGGAAAAAGTAATTTGAGCGCCTGCTTTAAATCCTTGCAACTCGTTCGCGGCCAAATGTTTCAACTTTGTTTTTTCTGATCAGGAAGTTAATAATTATAAACATCGATACGAGCTTCGGTTTTTACTTCAAGAATGAGAGTACATTGACTGAGTAATGATAACTCTAGCTTTATGTTCAGTTAACATGCGTGCTGCACACGAGGTTACACGCTAGTGTGCTGTGTCCGCTCGCACGCTAGCTTTTGTATTCGAAGGTTAACACGCTTTGCGTGTTTGCCTGCTCGTGCTTCATTTTTCAACAGCGCACGCTGTATTGGTTGTAGGGTGTTATATGAAACAAAAGCATATGCACATTTAAGTGTGCTCTAGCGTACTCGGCAAGCGTGTTCGAGCCAGTTTCTTTTTTTAAGTAGAAGTGTGTTGCGAGCATGCTATTACCTTTGTCCCTATACTAATACGGAGGGTCATTTCATTGAAGGTATCCATTGTCGCATACAACTTCTCTCTTCCTAGAAACACTTTTGTGAGCGTATCACAGTACAAAAAAGAGAAGCGAGTCAAGTAAGATTGTGAACTATATCCTGAAAATTCTACAAAGCAGTAACTATCGTTTTACGCTTATCATATTGATGAATGTAACTTGGACTTCATAGAGATAAGCCATTTTTTAATTGCACCATGTTGCCGATTATAACGTTTTGAAAGAGAGATTTTCAGTTGGTTTTTAGTTGAGAGACATACTTTCCACAAACATCACCATACGTGTCTCTGCCAGCAATCTGCGTCGAAACAGAACATTTAGAATGAGTAAGATTGTCGACCGTTGCTTTAGAATTCTGCAATATTTTCATTAAATATCGGATGAATTTAATCGTTATGAGCTTTTCAAAAGGAGTTTTCACTTGAGAGATTGCAAGATGTTTCTTTTGGCACTTAAGCCGTTTACTAGCAAAAACAGGAGATTTACGCGTCGACACTTGTGCAGCAAAATCAAGGCCATTCTTGGTTCTTACATTTAAATGACACGATTTGAAGAAGGGATCTGTTAGTACAGGTTAATAGGATTTTATTGTGTTTTAGTTTATTTTTGTTTTTATCCGAAGAGTTTTTGCGGTTTGTTTAGGGAGAAAGTACTTAGCTAATGAAAGCGGATTTTTGTAACCAACAAATGCAAACACGTCCTCCTCTAACAATGGATATGATACTTACACTGTAGGAGCATACTTGTTACATTTAACAGTTGCTAAGAAAAAAATTAAGTCTAAATAGTTTAAAGAGGCCGGGAATGCAAAACAACAGACTGAGTCGAAAAAAGCAGAACAATACCTTTGAGCTCTAAAGATAAATTTTACAATTTTTATGCATTGAGAATGTAACTTTTCATTCCAAGGCAGCCGCTGTTTCGAGTAATGCATTTTTCATCAAAGGAAATAAAAAACGTTGCAACAAGGCATGAGTGCACTGCTAAATAGAGCGAAGGAATGTAATCGACATCCAATATTTTTTTAGGATTTTTTGCCAACAAGACTCATTTCCTTCAATATTTTTCCTACATATAGAAGAATTTTGTTAAATTACTAATGCGTTCCTATAAATCTCTAAGGTCCCGAAGTGCACAAGCTTTCCACCCCTAATGATGGGTGGAAAGTATTTACCTCATTTATCTTTGTATGTTACAGAAATTGAGAGAAGAATTGTAGTGTTGAGAACCATTTCTTTAAATTTGGTGTCGAAAGGGGTACGGTGTCTAGCTTTGCAACAGAAGTGGCCTGTGATAAAATCCGAATAGTAACCGAATAGTCGCGAATTGTGACGAATAGTGAAAATAAATGAATTTATAATGAAATAAAAATAGTTATTGCCCTATTTCATAGATTTATTGGATTCAAATGTGACGATTATATGACAAAAAAGATTTAGGGTAACATATGGACTAGATCATTGGACCCTTAGACTATTTTTTGGAGCATTTCTTGGAGCATTTTTGGACTATTTTTTTGGACCATTTTATCGGGGAGGCAGACAATTAGTACTTTAACTTTTTGTCATTTGAATGCGAAACTGGCACCTAAGCACTGGACTATAATTGTTATAGAAAAGATCGCCAACTCCTGTTTTCGATCCTCCTCTGTGAAGTCATGCGTGTGCCTGTTTACTCGACTTGTGCCAGTGCTAAATGATACTCACAGGTTAGTATGAATCATATTTCAGTTGCCTCACGTTTTCCTTTTTGTATGTGCCAAAAAAAGCGAGGAAAAAGCGCAATGGTTTTATAAGTGGTTTCACATCATGGAGTGTAATCCAGCTGTCAATGAAACTCTCTTGACTTATCCAAGCTCCAGATAATAAAATTTCCCGGGAAGAATCGGTCACATTTACTGACTTCTACGTTTTGCCGACGGAAAATATCGGCAAACAACAGTAGCCACCATAGTTCTACTTCGCAGGTTTCGTTGGTTTTTGGGCAAGAAGTGATTGGTAGCGGCCCAGGCAAATTGGAAAACAAACCTTGGGGAGTCGCGAGGAATCCCGGTGTCGGTGATTAACTCGTTTGTTTGCGAATCAGATAAGTAGTACCTCTGTTTTATTTATTTCAGAATGATAGCATACATGTTTGAAACACAATTTATATGTTACCCTATGCCTTTTTTGTCAAACAATCAGTATGTATACACATTTGAATCCAATAAATCTACAAAATAGGGCAATGAATATTTTTATTTCATTATCAATTCATTTATTTTTACTAATCACCACTATTCGTCACTATTCGTCACTATTCGTCACTATTCGTCACTGTTCGTCACTGTTCGTCACTGTTCGTCACTATTCGTCACTGTTCGCGACTTTTCGCACTATTCGGTCGCTATTCGGGTTTTCTCACCAGCCAACAGAAGTTCGTTTGAGAGAGAGATAACGATGTATTTGTTTTCGGATTATACATTTTTACCCCCAAAGAATTTACCAATATGGGTCAATAGAATTTCTTAATTTCTGAGCAGAGCCTTCGTCCTTTGTACGAGAAAAAAATTTTTCTCTATGAAAGGGGCTTTTTGTGATCAAGAAGGACAGGTTTTTAACTCAAACACGGAATTTCTAAACATGGATGGTACGTGTCATTTGAAATTTTAAATATTTAACTAGCTGTAGCTTAAAACCGTTGTCAAACAAATGTATCCATAAATCAGAAAACATTTTAAACGAGGGTCAAGATTAGAACCAAAAAACTCCTGTTACAGAATGTTTAGTTTGTTGCGTTTGTGTTTGTTTTCTATGGCGAGATCTATGTTAAGAATATGTAGTGTGTTCGTTTCTGTTCCCATGACATTCCACTCCTTCGTACTAAGTGCGTCGTCGCTTTCGTTTAGCCTTCTGCTTGCCAGGTGATGATTTGTAGGACGTTGTCACGTTCTCTTTGCAAACTGCTGTCTTCACAGCGCAGAGGCGATTTTCCAGGTAAATGTTCTCCATCAAAGCATGAAGTATATTATCACCTTCCTGAAGTGACTGCCTGTTTAAAGACTCGATAGGATTGGTAGTGCTTGGTCCCTGTTCCCAATCCTTGTCGTCCATTTCCTTAAAAGCCCTTGTAAACATGGTCAGGTGATTTACACGGAACCACCATTTACTCCAATGCTCTAGCTTCGTCCAGTCTTTGTTGTGGATGGTGTCAAATTCCGAGACCAACAAATTGCCTTCCTTCTTGTAATTGTCTGGTGCCAGAGAGCGCATCGAAAAGCAACAAAACATTTCTTTTTCGCACTCGTCTTCGATTTTGCTTGCTAGGGCTTTTAATATGCAAACTTCAGTGTCATTCATGCAAACAAGCCTGCAGGCTCTTTTAACTGATCGCTGCCAGTGAACCTTGCATCTCCTGATCACTTTCCGGGAAAGGTCTTCACCCAGACACTGTTGAATTCCTTTGTATTGTCCATCATCAAAGTCAACCAAGATAGATTTCAAATTCTTGCCATTTGCGAAGCGGGCATGATGAAACGTCACTTTTTTTAAAATCGCGGCGATGGACTAAGAGTAACTCTCACTGTCTTGCCTACTACATATAACTCTTGCTACCGCATTATACACGCACCTTTCGTCGTTAAAAGAAACAACGTTTAGGAGGTATGGGAAGAAGTCATTACCAGTAGAAGTAACGTCCATGAATAAATTCTCTGTTGTACTCAACAGTGCAGATTGAAATGGAGCCATGAAGAAGGCATACTTTCTGCAAGAAGTAAAGAGGTACTCGCTCCCTTTCATCTGATATTGACCCATCATCTGGTTGACTTATTCAATCACCATACAACTGGTTGCTTTTCACTTTTTTCCGAATTTTATCGAATCGGAGCACCTCGTCGAGTAGGCGTAGCTCTCTGTAAACAGACGTCCATTTGCCAAGGGCTGTCTTCCTCTCTTTTTAAAGGCAGTCGGCATTTGCTGCAGGCGAACTAGCTTAGGCTGGGACGTAACCAATTCCAAGGCCCTTCACACTGTCTTTTGTATTTTTTTAGCTGTCATCGGAAACAACTCTTTGGATGTCTTCTTTCACTCTGCTTGATATGCTGTGTGGAGCTGATTTGTTGTGATTGTGTCAAGTTCCCGGTTCAAGACCAACCATCGCCTTCCATCGTCATTGCAGGGCCATATGTAGACCATATGCACACTACATGGTGCAGATGAAAGAAGAGATTAATTTTCCCAGTGACGTAAGCATCGATTTATCTTTTGTCTTTTAGAGACCACATACTCACAGTCAGGACCAGCACAAGTTTTCACGCCTTCACAAGGCCCCCGTCTCACGTACAAGGATGTCTTCTTACCTTCTACAATTATGTTGTGCTTCGTTGTTTGCAAGCCTCTTATTGGCAGTTGGTTGTCATCCCAGATAATATGTGGCCGAGTATTGGCTTCAAAAGGCAACCTGCGCCAATCTCTTAAGTTGGCCAATGGTTTCTGTGAGGACTGTAGGTCAGTCTCGAATCCGGGAAATTCGTATTGATCTTTGTCTGTCAGCTTGTGCCAAGTATCAGAATGCTTCAAAACTTCCTTTAACTTTGGTAGGTGATGGTGTCCACGTCCACTCCTTTTCTTGTAAGTTTGGGTTGTCCAATACACCCAAACTGAGTCCGATGGACCAAGGTCATGAACAACCAGACTCGCCGGAAGTCAGTTCGCGAGAGACTTTGTAAATATACAACAAAGTATAGAGTTGCGGACTGGGTGGAAATACATTTCGGCAAACGGCCGGACTCCATCAAATCCGATGGAGACGGGTTGCCGTGGCAAGAGTATATCGAACTCGCCGCGTGTTAGTTCGCTAGATACTTAGAAAACATACAGCAAAGTAGAGTAGTGAAAGGGGTGAAAAATGTCGATAACGGACTCCGTCGGATGCAATGGAGACGGATTGCCGTGGCAAGAGTCCATCGGACTCGCCGCATGTCAGTTCGCGATAGTCTTAGAAAATATACAGCAAGGTAGAGTAGTGAAAGGGGTGGAAAATGTCGGCAAACGGACTCCGTCGGATCCGATAGAGACGGGTCGCTGTGGAAAGAGACCATCGGACATCGCCCCGTGTCAGTTCGCGAGACACTTAGAAATATATAGCAATGTTGAGTATAGTGAAAGGGATGGAAAATGTCGGCAAATGGCCTCCTTCGGATCCGATGGAGACGGGTTGCCCTGGCAGCATCTGCTCACTTTAATAATTTACCTGAACTTAAACTTTCACTAAATATCTCCGCCGATGAAATACGTCACTGCGCTGACTCAAATAAACTCCCAATCAACGAGTCAAAGTCTAAAGTCTTAACGATCACCGGAAAGCGCCTGGCGTCTAAGATCAATAATGAACTTGTTGTCACAGTTGAGGACAATAGGCTCGTAAATGGAAAAAGTCCAACACTTTTAGGTTTAACAATCGATAGTTCACTCTCATTTGATTGTCATGTTGAAAATCTTTGCAATAAGCTTGCCTTGCGCATAGGTGTTTTGAGTATAATCAGGCCCTTTCTGTCACTTAAACAGCGACTGTTGCTCAACAATGTCATTATTCGCCTAGTAATGAGCTATGCTGACATCATTTGGTCATCATGTGACAAGGAACCACTTTACAGAGTCTTGAAATTACAGAAACGTGCTTCTAGAATCATTTCATATTCCGACCACCTAACACCCTCTCTGACACTTTCAATAAGTTGGGATGGATACCTTTTTATGAACAGTAAAATTAACAAATGTGTTATTTTTTAGAAGCGCGTAAATGGCTCTCTTCCGAACTATCTCAATGAACACTTGACGATTAATAATACACAACATAACAGAAGCACGCGGTATGCTAGCTATAATTCTATCTGTCCTTATTATAAGCGTGACACTGAAGGAGGCCGTTCTTTTGCTGTATCAGCAACAAGACTTTGGAATAATGTGCCGCTAAATATCAGAAAGATAGACACTTAGATAATATTATGGCAACGTCGAGGATGTGGAGGGGCTGTAAAAAGAACGACTTTTTCATGTTTAACGCGCTTGTTTCGCCTCATGGCGTTAAGAACGAGTTATATTTCATTGTAGCGCGCTTGTTTCCCCTCATGGCTCAAAGAACGACGTAAATTTCATGTGTAGCGGCGTTTGGCTTAAAGAACGACGAATGTTACATGTGTAGCGCGCTTGTTTCGCCTCATGGCTCTAAGAACGATTTATATTTCTTTGTAGCGCGCTTTTCCCCCCCCTCATGGCTTAAAGAACGACATATATTTCATGTGTAGCGTTTGCCTCGCTTCATGGCTTAAAGAACGACGAATGTTACATGTGTAATGCGCTTGTCTTGCCTCATGGCTTAAGACGACATATATTCCATTGTAGCGCGCTTGATTCGCCTCACGGCCTTAAGAACGACGTATATTTCATTGTAGCGCGCTTGTTTCGCCTCATGGCCCACAAAACGACGTTTATTTCATGTGTAGCGTTTTTCTCGCCTCATGGCTGAAAGAACGACGGATGTTACATGTGTAGCGCGCTTGTTTCGCCTTATGGCTCTAAGAACGACCAATGTTACATATGTAGCGCGCTTTTTTCGCGTCATGGCTTTAAGAATGACGTACATTTCAAGTGTCTCGCCTCATGGATGAGAGATATTTTCGCGAACTGACCTCGGGGGAGTTCGATCGACTCGTGCCAGGACGAACTGTCTCCATCGGATCCGATCGAGTCTGTTTGCCAATATCTTCAATCCCCCTCGCTCATGTTAACCTCTTACTTCCGGTACCACCAGTCAAGCGCCATACGGCCATTTCCGGTTCCGGTCGCAATAGGACTCAATCCGCCTGCTGGTGAAGGTAACCCGACTAAGGTCAGGTGTATTGGACATGTGTGAGTAAGTTTTGGCGGCTTTCTTTTTTTTCCTCGTTAAAAGGATCGACCGCAGAATCGAGAACAAGGTCGTTGCGCGGACGGCGCAAAAATTCCTTACCTTTCTCGGAAACTTTATATTGTCTCCACACCCTGTTAAACGAGTCGCATCTAGTTATGTTGAAGTTGATGTCTACATACTCTAGATTTACTGACTTTCGTAACACTTTTGACCACCAATCATCGGAACATTTCAGCCTCATTAGCTCCGAACCGGTAGAATAGGTACGAGACTTTTCTAGAAGCGTCTGCATTTCTGGTGTCGAGAATTTCTCTCTCTTACTTCCTTTAATCATACGATTAACTCTTCCTCTCTCACACCATTCTGATATTTTATCAGTTTTCCAAAGTAACTCGCATCAATTAAAACCGTAAGTCTGTCAAGTTTTCTAATTTGTACAAGGTTTATCAAAGCACCAATATGAAAAGTTTGAGTCATTCAAGCTTTCATTATACATTTAAAGTTTAAGAGATTCCACTGTTTTCAATTACAACTAGTTTTTCCATGTGTTCGCTGGAGGTGTCCTTTCAGTTTTATAAAAAACTTTTTTTGTTGTTTGTATTTCTCTAGTTAAGTTTAATTATTTACATCTCCTAGAATCATGATGTGTCAGTCTTAGCGTGCTATTCCTCGAAAGTCGAAAAAGGTCGGACAGTGTAAAATTATATAGTTGGTAAAAAATATTGGATGTACGTTGAATTATTTGGGTTCTGCCTTTCAGATGGCTGAAATCCATGATGCCATGGAGTTGCTCCGTATTGAAGTAGAGAGAGGGAAGAAGACCCAAGAGACGAAGATAGAGAGCGGCGGAGAAGAGAAAGGGAGAGAAGCAGACAGGAGGACAGAGACAGGTTAAGGTAAGAGAGGAGGGTCGAGGAGGAACGGCGCGGAGAGACAACCGTCCAACCGCGTCAACCCTTACGGCAACCTCCACGTCGTCCCAGTAAGTAATCTAAACTGCTTCCTATCATTGGATACATTTTTAACCGTTTAATTTGGTTTTCCCAAGTCTTATTCGCCTATTTTTCAAACTTAAAATACATGATATAGCATGGCGCATTAACATACGAAACATCCCTTCGAGTGTTGAATATGTCTCGGGAGTGCGAGCAGTGATCGAGAGAAATATTGTTTTTCCCTTAATTAAAATTAATTACACGCAAACGGACAAACAGAAAGGAAACGTAAAGGGAACACCGAACCATTTCATTTGCGTACGAATTACTTTGTAACCATAGCGTTGGCATTCACATGTAAAAATAACATGTTACACATGTCACATTTTTGCGGGAGGTCTTCCAGTAATTCACTCCTATTTGTTTAATGAAAAGGACATGGCCGCATGGAGATACAAGTGACCCTCTCTTAATGAAATGGCAATCCACTTTAAGTTCGTTGCAAAAGACAC